CCTTTTGGGATTACCAGTACACTTGAAATTTTCAAAAAAAAAAAAAGGCAGAACTGTTAACTATAACTCCATATATGGATCTTCAATGGAAGAATACAACAAAACCTCAAAGTCCTAAGCCTAGTCAGTGAGCCTGGACTGAAGCTAAACAAGGGAAAAATGTGTTTACCACCTATCCCAAATCGAGGTTTTTGAGAAACAAAAATGGAATCATTCCTAGTCCTGAGAAAGCAAAAGCAATTCAAGCAATGCACCAACTAACATACCAGAACTGAGACGTATACTGGGGATGGTAAATTACCTTGGTCGATACTGTAGAAAGGTCTTGTAGGTGACAAAACCACTGAATGAACTATTAAAGTCCAACACACCTTGGCTATTGGGGCCAGATCAAGACATTGCCTCCTATGAGGTAAGAGAAATTATCTCAGTAGCTCCTGTTCTCAAGTACAATGATGTGAACAAACCCACAATGGTCAGTGAGGATGCAAGCAGCTATGGTCTAGGTCAGGGGTGGGCAAACATTGTGGCCCGAGGGCCACATCGGCGTTGCAAAACGGTATGGAGGGCTGGGTAGGGAAGGCTATGCTTGGCCCCCTACCCCAATCCCCCCCTTGGCCCCCACCCCCTATCCACTTTCCACCCCCTGACTGCTCCCTTCAGAACCCCTGACCCATCCAACCCCCCCACCCAATCCTTGTTCCCTGACCACCCCCTCCTGGGACCCCCGGCCCCTATCCAACCCCGCCTCCCCGGCTCCCTGTCCACACCCCCACCCCGACAGGCCCCCTGGAACCCCTGACCCATCCAACCAATCCTTGTCCCCTGACGGCTCCCTCCCGGGACCCCCATCCCTAACTGCCCCCCCCCCCGACTCCCCCTGCTCCCTGTCCCCCGTCTCCCAGGACCCCCGATCTCCCACCCCATATCCAACCCCCCTCTGCCCCTTATCCAGCCCCCCTCCTGCTTACCACGCCGCTCAGAGCGGCGGGACAAGCCTGGGAGATGGATGGGTGCAAGCCGCGCTGCCTGCACAGCACCATACTGACAGGAGAGAGGCTGGGGGCTAGCTCCCTGGCTGGAAGCTCAGGGGCTGGGCAAGACTGTTCCACGGGCCGGATGTGGCCCACGGGCCGTAGTTTGCCCACCTCTGGTCTAGGTGTATTTTTGCAACAACATGAGTGGAAGCCAGTTGTATCTTGCTCTCACATTCTCACTGAAACAGAAAAACAATATGCACAGATTGAAAAGGAGTGCCTGACAAGAGTATGGGCATGAGTTTTATTAAACAGGTATCTGTGTGGATTGAATTTGTTTATGATAATAGACCATAAGCTGCTTGTAACCCACATCAATGGAAGAGGCCTGGATCAAGCACTGTTGAGATGCCAGTGTCTACTGATAAGGTTAATTAGATTTAACCCAATTGCTAAATATGTTCCTGGGAAAAATCTGGTAGAAGCAGACACACTATCACAGAGCCCAGCATCGCACTCAAGGATCCATGAGCTGGAAGATAATGTAAAGGCATACGTGAAAGCTATGGATGCATACAGACCAGTGTCAGAACAGACTACATCCGTTACAACAAGCAACCTCAACAGACATGCAACTTGAGCAAATTCTAAGTTACTTGGTCCAGATGACCCTAAAGTATCTAAAGAACAAACACGAAGGAAGTGACAAGAGACTACTTTGTGGTGCAGGGACTATTAAGTCATGAGTAAAGGCCATTTCATATTAATTCCAAATGAAAGGAGAGGAGAAATCCTAATGTCCTTCATGGGTGAAGTTTAATGATTAATTAAATGACACAAATGGACCAACCAGTCAGCTTGGTGGATAGGCATCAGCAGGGATGTGAAAAATAAAGTTATTTTATGTGAACATTGCAGAGCTAACAGACCAACACAATACAAAGAACCTTTAGTAACATCACCCCTATCAGAGAGGCCTTGGAAGAGACAAGCAGCAGATTTATGCAAATTCAGAGGACAATTGGTCACTATGGACTATTGTGATGCTATAGGATTAAAACATGAATATGTAGATCATTGTTGCTACCACTGTTATACAAATGCAACAAATCTTGTGCAAAAGAGGTCATGTAAGGTATCAATGGAAAAGTTATGGTTTGCTGAATACGATTATCCTATTTGTATACATGTATCATTTTCATATTTGAAGTTATAAATATTGACTGTATAACTGTATTTCAAATGTGTTTGCTCCTAGTAACACCCTCAAGGTAGTTTACATCCAGTCTTGCCAGCACACTGTGAATAGACTATTCAAGTTGATGGCCCATCAACAAACACAATGGGCCATGGAAGAAGTTTATCCCCGCCTGATGGACTTTCCAGCCAGAATATGGGTAATGGCCCCTGCTATGACTCATTGAAGTATGCAAGGGCATGTAACCACCTCGTGTAACACTGGACTCCATCTTGTGCCTGCACGTTTCCACTGGCTGTACTGAGAGCAGACCCTCCACATGGGAGAAACTGTAAAATGCCCTGAAAATATCTCCATTTTGCCTCTTTCCTGCTTGGATCTCTGGAGTATGGACTTATATTAATGGGAGAAATCTAATCAAGGGACTGAGGACCTTCCACTCTTTTGGAAGCAACCAGAGACTTAAGCCAGCAGTTTATGCCATCACTGCTTCAAACCTAATCCAAGAATTTTCAATTATTGTATGTATTTGATTCATTTAACCAATTTTAACTCTCACCTTTCTTTTTTCTTATAAGCCAACCTTTAGATATTAGATACTAAAGGATTGGCAACAGCGTGATTATTGGGTAAGATTTAAGTTATATATTGATCTGGGTATGTGGGATCAGAAGAATCCTTTGGTTGATGAAATTGATTTTAAATAACCACTCATCATTAAGTCTAGTGTCTGGGAATTGAAACAAAGACTGGAATACCTAAGGAAGCTGCAGTTCTGATTTCTTGTTAGCCAGTGTGGTGAGACAGAAGTTTACTTTTGTTGCTGGTTTGGTATATCTTATGGAAGAATAACCACCAGTTTTGGGGTATTTCTGCCCTATTTCTCAGCAGTTTGTCCTGAATTTGGTATTCTTAGTTGTGACCCACTGAAGCACAGGTACATTCCCAGGTATACAGAAATAACGTACTTGAAAGATATAATGTTGCATTATTATTGCTTTTGCTCACTTTTGTCCATCACAAGTTGTTCTGGAATACCATGGACCACAATTCCCTGCAACAGAATTTAAGTAATTCTAAACTAAATATGATTTTGAGCATATTAATAACAGCCCACAATACCAGCAATGAATGGAGAACTGAGAGAGCTATACAGACAGCCAAGAAAATCTTACAGCAGGAAGATCCATTTCTTGCTCTTCTGAGTTACAGATCAACACCAATAGCAGCTACTGGATACAGTCCAGCACAACTGCTGATGAAAAAACAACTCAGAACTACTGTTTCAAGTTTGGGAAAGAATCTATGAAAAGAGCAGTCAAACTGGATACAATGGCAAAAAGAGCCTAGGAACACTTTTACAACAGACATAATTCAGTTAGAGAGCTGCCAGCTCTAGCCTCTACAAAAATCCACAGTACGCACACATCTTGAATACTGCATGCAGATGTGGTCGCCCCATCTCAAAAAAGATATATTGGAATTGGAAAAGGTTCAGAAAAGGGCACCAAAAATTATTAGGTTTCAGAGGAACAGCCGTGTTAGTCTGTATTCGCAAAAAGAAAAGGAGTACTTGTGGCACCTTAGAGACTAACCAATTTATTAGGGTATGAAACGGCTTCCATATGAGGAGAGACTAATAAGACTGACTTTTCAGTTTGGAAAAGAGATGACTAAAGGGGGATATGATAGGGGTCTATAAAATCATGACTGGTGTGGAGAAAGTAAATAAGGAAGTGTTATTTACTCCTCCTCATAACACACGAACTAAGGGTCACCAAATGAAATTAATAGGCAGCAGGTTTAAAACAAACAAAAGGAAGTATTTTTTCCACACAACGCAGTCAACCTGTGGAACTCCTTGCCAGCAGATGTTGCAAAGGCCAAGACTATAACAGGGTTAAAAAAAACCTGAACTAGATAAGTTCAAGGAGGATAGGTCCAGCAATAGCTATTAGCCAGGATGGGCAGGAATGGCGTCCCTAGCCTCTGTTTGCCAGAAGCTGGGAATGGGCGATACGGGATGGATCACTTGATTACCTGTTCTGTTCATTCTTTTTGGGGCACCTGGCATTGGCCACTGTCGGAAGACAGGATGCTGGACTAGATGGACCGTTGGTCTGACCCAGCATGGCTGTTCTTATAGAAAAAAAAGGATGGACAACTCCAGCAGTCATAAAGAAAAGGAATTCAGCACCCAGATCATATGTGATCAAGACTGCCAGCGGAGAGTTCAACAAAAAACATTGACATCTACAGTTTGCTCCTCAGAAGGAACAGATAGCAGGTGCAGAACAAGATGAGGAGGATTTTAGACCAACCAAAACCAGTCGTTGCAACTAATGGACAGCCAGATGACCAAGTTGTTACAAGTTTGGGTTACGTAATTAGAAAACCAGTAGGATTCAGAGACACTTAACAGACGAAATTCAAAGACAGTGTGATAGTGTAAATGTAAGAACTTACAGAGGGAGATGTAATGGAATGTGAAACTGTATTATACTGGTCAGCCACTAGGTAGCACGGTGTATAAAATACCTTATTTTAACAAGCCTCAGCCAACACTGGCCAGAGCATTATAATGAACATATCTGGTGTGTATCTTGGCTACAGAGCTTTCTCTGGGCAAGCTACACCTGACACAGGAACATGACAGCTTATTAGAAACTCCACACTAGCAAGCCATTTTGTGTAATTCTCTGAATAGCTGACCGATGATCATCACTTTCCGTCATTACCAATCTGAGCAGAACTGGGGAGATGCAATATGTAGGAAGTACAATCTTGTGCTCTTACTGTTTCATTTATTATACTAAATACTTCACCTGTTGCTCTAGAACCATATTCTTTTCTAGCTCTGCATTGAAAATCATTTTCCTCATGTAATCCAGCTGTTTCTCAAGTAGGGAGCAGCGGGATTGTGCTGCACTTAACTGCACACTAACATCTGTGGAGAGAGACAGACACACACACAGTGTAGAATAGTATTTTTGAGTAACATTTAGCCTGCCCCTCACCCTATGGTCTTGGAGATTTCAAAGTTTTTGGGTTGGTATTTTTTTAAATATAAAAAAGGGTACTTGGGCTGGGCCAGTGAAGTGGTTAACAGGGAGTATTTTAACATGTGCAAGACTCAGGATGTGTTTCCAGGTCCAGACCCTGATCTGTGTTACTATTGACTTCACAGGAGTTCCTCACCATTTACACCAGTATAAACCTAATCAAATCTGGTTCCCTCCTGCCCCCTCCTTACCTTTCATCAGATTGGGGGTACCATATAAGTAGCACCGAGTTCTGACCTGTAGTGATGTCCTGGTTCTTTTAGGAGTGCCACCAATGGACATCTCATCCAGCCAACCTCAGCAAGCAAAGACTGACTGAGGGGCTGCTCCCTGTGTTGCAGGCCGGAAGCCCTCATGATCACATGTGAAATAGCTGTACTTCTCACAGAAACAGCTACTTGATAGGCTTTATTACATTCAGTATCTAAAGCTGGTTTATTCAGCACCAAGCGGAAAAGTAACTCGATTGATCAGACCAGGAGTATGAGGTAGACGAGGCTTTCTTCGGACAACTAACAGAAGTTTCCAGATCACAGGCCCTGGCTCTCCTGGGGGACTTCAATCACACTGACATCTGCTGGGAGAGCAACACAGCAGTGCATAGACAATCCAGGAAGTTTTTAGAGAGTGTTGGAGACAACTTCCTGATGCAAGTGCCGGAGGAACTAACTTAGGGGTTGTGCTCTTCTTGACCTGCTGCTCACAAACAGGGAAGAATTGGTAGGGGAAGTAGAAGTGGGTGGCAACCTGGGCAGCAGTGACCAGGAGATGGTCGAGTTCAGGATCCTGGCAAAAGAAGAAAGGAGAGTAGCAGAATACGGACCCTGGACTTCAGAAAAGCAGACTTTGAGGCCCTTAGGGAAGGGGATCCCCTTAGAGGCTAATATGAGGGGGAAAGGAGTCCAGGAGAGCTGGCTGTATTTTAAAGAAGCCTTATTGAGGGTGCAGGAACAAATCATCCTGATTTGCAGAAAGAATAGCAAATATGGGATGCAACCAGCTTGGCTTCACAGAGATGAGCTTAAACACAAAAAGGAAGCTTACAAGAAGTGGAAACTTGTACAGATGATTAGGGAAGAGTATAAAAATATTGTTCAAGCATGCAGGGGTGTAATCAGGAAGGCCAAAGCACAATTGGAATTGCAGCTAGCAAGAGATGTGAAAGGTAACAAGAAGGGTTTCTACTGGTACGTTAGCAACAAGAAGGTTGTCAGGGAAAGTGTGGGACCCTTACTGAATGTGGGAGGCAACCTAGTGATAGATCATGTGGAAAAACCTGAAGTACTCAATGCTTTTTTTGCCTCAGTCTTCACAGACAAGGTCAGCTCCCAGACTGCTGCACTGGGCAGCACAATATGGGGAGGAGGTCTGCAGCCCTCAGTGGTGAAAGAACAGGTTAAGGACTATTTAGAAAAGCTGGACATGCACAAGTCCATGGGGCCGGATGCAATGCATCCAAGGGTGTTGAGGGAGTCAACTGATGTAATTGCAGAGCCATTATCTTTGAAAACTCTTCGCGATCGGGGGAGGTCCTGGATGATTGGAAAAAGGCAAATATAGTGCTCATCTTTAAAAAAGGGAAGAAGGAGGACCTAGGGAACTACAGACCGGTCAGCCTCACCTCAGTCCCTGGAAAAATCATGGAGCAGGTCCTCAAGGAGTCCATTTTGAAGCACTTGGAGGAGAGGAAGGTGATCAGGAACAGTCAAGATTGGATTCACCAAGGGCAAGTAATGCCTGACCAACCTGATTGCCTTTTATGATGAGATAGCTGGTTCTGTGGATATGGGGAAAGCAGTGGATGTGATATATTTTGATATTAGCAAAGCTTTTCATATGGTTTCCCACAGTATTCTTGCCAGCAAGTTAAAAAAGTATGGATTGGATGAATGGACTATAAGGTGGATAGAAAGCTGCCTAGATCGTTGGACTCAACAGGTAGCGATCAATGGCTTGATGTCTAGTTGGTAGCTGGGTATCAAGCAGACAGCTCCAGAGGCCAGATTTGTTCAAGATCTTCATTAATGATCTGGATGACGAGATGGACTGCACCCTCAGCAAGTTTGCGGACGACACTAAACCGGGGGAGGGGGTAGATATGCTGGAGGGTAGGGACAGGGTCTACAGTGACCTAGACAAATTGGAGGATTGGGCCAAAAGAAATCTGATGAGGTTCAACAAGGACAAGTGCAGAATCCTGCACTAAGGACTGAAGAATCCCATGCCCTGCTACAGGCTGGCGACTGACTGGTTAAGCAGCAGTTCTGCAGAAAAGGACGTGGGGATTACAGTGGATGAGAAGCTGGATAGGAGTCAACAGTGTGCCCTTGTTGCCAAGAAGGCTAATGGCATATTGGGCTGCATTAGTAGGAGCATTGCCAGCAGATCAAGGGAAGTGGTTATTCCCCTCTGTTCAGCACTGGTGAGGCCATATGTGGAGTACTGCATCCAGATTGGGCCCCCCCCCCCACAGAAAGGATGTGGACAAATTGGAGAGAGTCCAGCGGAGGGCAATGAAAATGATTAGGGGGCACATGAGGAGAGGTTGAGGGAACTGGGCTTATTTAGTCTGCAGAAGAGAAGAGTTAGGGGGATTTGATAGCAGCCTTCAACAATCTGAAGGGGGGTTCCAAAGAGGATGGAGCTAGGCTGTTCTCAGCGGTGGCAAATGACAGAACAAGAAGCAAATGGTCTGAAGTTGCAGTGGGGGAGGTCTAGGTTGGATATTAGGAAAAATTATTTCACTAAGAGAGTGGTAAAGCACTGGAATGGGTTATCTAGGGAGGTGGTGGAATCTCCATCCTTAGGGGTTTTTAAGGCCTGGCTTGACAAAGCCCTGGCTGGGATAATTTAGTTGGGGTTGGTCTTGCTTTGAGCAGGGGGTTGGACTAGATGACCTCCTGAGGTCTCTTCCAACCCTAATCTTCTATGATTGGTAAGGCAATATTTGGTTAATTTTTATTAAAAAAAAATTCAGACAAATTATGATGATTGGATAGGACTATACTTCTCAAAGCTGAAACTAGAACCTGCATTCAATAGCAGCTCGCCAAAACATGAGCGCTCCTTCAGTTGAGAGAACTAACAGCTATATTGACTATTTCTATTATTAGTATGGTGACAGGTTTGTCAGAGGTAAAGTTGCCATGAATACCATGACTTTTGTGTCTGGGGTTTCACAGGTTGTGGAGCTGCGTGGCAGGGGGGAGGCGGGGCGGCACGTGGGCCATGGCCCCACCACTTATGCTTCCACAGCCCAATCTGGGACAGGCAATCCAGCAGCGCCAGGGCCAGGAAGGGCGGTAGGGTCATCACAGGAGGTGGACCCTGCCTGGACTCTGTAGCAGGGAGCTGGGCTAGCCCTGTGGGACAGGAGCCATTGCTGGAAGGTGAGTGCGGGGTGGATTCACTCTGCAACACTCCCACCCCCAAGGCCTCTTTCCCCTCAGGGTAGGACCCAACGCCTCCCCACATACTTGTAAATCCCTCTGCTACACTTTAAATGACACACCTGTGACTTTACACCATTTCCTCCTAAACCCATGATTTTTACTAAATTTATTGCGACTGCTCCAGGATTTTTGATTAAAAAAAAAAAATAGATGACAAGTCTGCAAATCTAATTATCACCATTGGAGAGAGACCTTTTTTCTGTTGTATCAATTCCTCATGTGCTATATCTTTCTCATTTGTTTCATGCTGCAAGGTCTTTTTATACTGGGCAGCCTCAATGGAAAGGCAGCTCAGGTTATCTTCAGCCTGCGACCTCTCCAACTCTAGATGACGGATCTTTTCTTGAAGAGTTTTGAGGGCTGACATCAGAGCTGGTGAACAATTGAAAAATAGTGGATTTTTAAAAAAAAATAAATGTTTTACTGCATTGCAATATAGTGTTAGCCATAAAAAACTTGTATCGATTCCCAAAAAACAAACAAATGTTTAAAAAAAACCAATAAGGGTTATGAAATGAGTAGAAAAGACCATTTAAAAAAGAAAGAATACATGTGATAAATAACTCACCCAATTGTTAGAGAAGAGCCACAGCACCCACTGGAAAAGTTAACAGTGGATCCTATGGAGATCCAGCACTTTCAGTGCACACCTTACAAAACGCATTTGTTTTCTATGTCGCTAAGTGAGAATGTGCTGTGTATACATGCATAGCCATCTTCACTCCAAATGCTAGTAAGGAGTGCCAGCAAGTTATAGCAAATTAAATATCAGACCAAAGACTAGAACTCAGGTCTAAGTTAAACAGCCAATGCCTAACTTGCAATGCCTCCTGGAGAAGGGTGAGTAATCCTTTTTAATTTCTAGATTTCAGAGAACTTTGCAGAAATGGGTAAGCATTGTTTGCCCAGTTTTACAATTAGCCTAAATAAAGAGGTTGGAAGCAATTTGCATCAGAGGCACAGTGATCTACTGAATACAACATGGGCTTGCTATTGAGATTAAAAATTAAGTCTTGTTTCTGGCTCAGTCGTATTTTCTGTGTAACCTCTGCACTTGATTTATGCTCTGCTCTTCTGTTACCCAATCTCAAAATGTGCACATTCCTTATAGGTCACAGGGGCATTTTCATAGGGATGGCAGGAAGGAGGAGGAGTACATTTTAACAGATCCTAGATTTTTCTCTCACTTCTGAAAGCCAGTTTGACACTCAAAGTAGCTCAGATATTCTGTTGCCCCTTTTTCTCCCCAATATCTGCTTTATTGAAAGAGAACTGCTTCAACTGCCAAATAATGGCAATTCCTTGATTATTAAGCTATTCTTGTCCTTGGAAAAAAGCTTCTTGGATGAGTCAACCTCAACATCTATTTAGGATTCACTTATTGTGGCATCATGTGATTGTTTTGGACAGATCGAAGAGAAAGTTAGACACTTTGGAAAAATGTCAAGGAGGAACCATTTTTACATTTCAAAAAAGTATTTGTTCCCTAACATAATGTGTGGTTAAAACTGTGCTTTCAAATGTTTATGATGAAGTATCACCACAGCTACAACTTTTACTCCGAAGATGCTATTGCCTCTCCATAGTCACACGCTTACAGAGAAAGGGCCCAGTTCTGACACAAACTAAGCACTCTTTGTGACATTCCAATAGCACACACAAGCCTTAAGGTTTCCCGTACACAAACGGAGGACTCCCTTGGTGGGGGGGAAATAATGTCCCTGCTCTCCCTGCCAGCTACCCCCATTTTCCTCAGAGCATGGTTGTTGGCTGGATCATGTTGCAGTGACCCCCAGCTGGCACAATGGCTAAAACTTGGAGCAATACTGCCCCTAAGATCAGGGACTAGAAGGCAGAAATGTGGTATAACGCCACCTTAGATCTTCCCCTAGGTGTACCAGGCATTATTCCAGTGTACCTGAAGACTAAGCTCCAGAACCGTAGTCCGACAGTTTAAAAAAGACAACCCAACACACTCACTCTCTCCGTCTAGTAGCAGAAGCTTGTGTAAGAACCCTCTTAGGAGTCAACTAAAGAAGGAGCCTTAGGTTCTTCCTATGATTAAGCCACAGTAGAAAGAAACATGTTCACATACATAGTACCCAACGTTGCTCCCACCAAATGTGAATTATTTGCTATTGATTTAACAGCAACGGGAACAAGACTTGGCTCAAAACTATCCATAACCAAAATAGTTTATAACTTTGGTTCTTTACAATGTATTTTCTCCTCAAGTTTTCCAGGGGATCTTATGCAGAAAGTTAAGTGATTTTTGACCTAGAGGGAAGCAAACAATGTCACACAAAAATCAAAAAGAAAAGGAGTACTTGTGGCACCTTAGAGACTAACCAATTTATTTGAGCATAAGCTTTCGTGAGCTATAGCTCACTTCATCGGATGCATGTAGCTCACGAAAGCTTATGCTCAAATAAATTGGTTAGTCTCTAAGGTGCCACAAGTACTCCTTTTCTTTTTGCGAATACAGACTAACACGGCTGTTACTCTGAAACAAAAATCAAAGTTTCAAATCAAAGTAATGCTAAAAAGAAAGTGATAAACTTCAAACTCTACAGAAGCAATCTCCAATTTTCAAGCAAAACAGATTTCACAGCCAAAGTTAGGAGAGGTGGCAACCAGCTTCTAGGATACAGCCCCCAAGTCTGGGGATACTACTCATTCTCCACACAAGCCTCCAGTCCAACGAACGTTAGTCATTTAGATCATAAGTAGACCAGACAAGGCAATTTGCTTAATAGAGTTAAAAGGAACACTTTTTTTTGTGGCTTTACCTTGGTTGTTTGGGGCAGGAAGCATGTCACCAATGGTAGCTGTTGCCTTCTTTGACTTGCTCTGACCAAAGGTAGGAACAAACATTTTATCTGGAGGCTGCAGAAAGCTTCCTATGAAACTTTGCTTTGATTCAGAACCCATGGTCTGTAGAAGGAAAGATATACATAATGCCATTATTTCCTAAATGAACTATTATTATAACACCAACAACTAGTCCAATGCCCTGTCTTGAACAAGCCCTAAGTTTGTATCAAATGAAATCAACTGGGTTGGAAAGAACACTGAGCAAGTCAGTTGGTCCGTCCCTCTACATTGTGTCAAGAATACTGCAGCTTAAATAACTCCCAACAAATTCCTTAAAAAAAAAAAAAAAAAAACCAATAATGAGAGAAATGCTACAGATTCCCTTGGCATCTTGTTTTATTACCAAAAAGATTCTTAAAATTTTTCCTTCTTGACTTCTAAACACATTTATTCTGTTTAACTTTTTGACCAGGGAATAATGCACTCCTTTCCTAACATCCTCATATTTACAGGACAGTTATGTCTGATCTTTAATGTACAATGAGCATGCCCTTTTCCCTACATATACTTTACCCCACCCCAAACCTCTGAATCCACCAAAGCAGGTGTTTTTTAAATAAACATGTGGTGTCCAAAATTTAATACAGCTGAAACCTAATAATGGCCAAGCAAAAAAACCCCTGCCTTCCTTTTCTTGATTTAAATATGCTGTATTCCCATTAATACAATCCAGTAAAAGAATTCCTCCTCCCCCCCGCCACAGTCCTCATTTTGTCAGAAGCAGATTTTCAAGGGCATGTTTATTCTGCCTAAAATAAAAAAAAGACAGTTTAACTGTATTTGAGATACAGACAATGAAGTTTGGACTAGGTGATTTAGTAAAGTTGACCCTCAGAGCTCAGCCAAAAATGTTTATTCCAGGATAACTAACTCAAGTTCCATTCAGATATTTAGATTAGAAATTAAATATTCAAGCTCTGAATATTAGTTATGTATTCCACCCAAATGGAGAAAAAAAATGTGACAATAAGAACATGAAAGAAATGCATTTCTTAAGTGTTTTTCAGATGTGTTGGATTATTGATCGTGTATAAACAATATTTTGCTTACTGCATTACTTTACTTCTAAATTGACCTTAATGATGCTCAAGACAAAATTAGAAACAAGTTTTAAGAATGTCAGTTGTTTCATGGTTTCTTAACCCTACCATTTCTTACGGTGCTTTATTTAAATATATCTGTTGGGTATAGATAGGCCTAACATCAAAACTCTCAGTCAGAACTTCACAGCTCAAATTCACCTCTATTCAGTTTTCTTGCAATCGTGTTTTAATGACGAGTTCATAAAACTGCCCTGCTACTGTAACTATGGATTGTTTGGAGAGTCTGTAGACAATCCTTGTAACATAATAGTTACTAGCCATCCATTCTTGACTCCTTACTATCTCAAAGTCAGCTCAAATGCATAAGCCCCATTTTTACTCACATTCCTCATTATTTTTCACAAATTAATTTGTGAATTTCCAAGGCCTTATACAGTATTTCTTATTTCAAATTCAACATCTTTGGTTTTAACTTGGGTCCCAGAAACTTGGTTCTGTGCTGTACTTCAGAAGTTATTACAGTCACAGAAGAGGACAGCTTTTATCAAAACACATCAGGCACGTGTAAGATTCCTTTAACAAGCCTAAATAATTAAACTCAAAAAGAGGGACTGCAATACCGAATTAGGCAAGTTGTAATCACACCATCACAGTTCAGTGGAAGACAATTCTCATTACAGAAAAGACACTTACTTGCAGGCCTAGTAATACAGTAAAACTGTGGTTTCATACAGCAGATTAAAATACTGCAGCAGACTCACCTTTTCTTCCCCGAGTAGCAGAAAGAGGGTATTGTCTGCCACGGAAGATTATTTGCTGTACCACTTCCAGCATGAACCCCAATCTCTACTCAGCACAGCATCGCGGTTTCTGTTTAGACAAAGTAATTTACACCACTCATTTGGTGGCTTAACAAAAGGAACCAACAGGAAGAAGCAGCAACCCACAACAAACTACAGCATTTATCTAAATAAAGTTAGATCCCAGATGAGAGTCAATTTGAAAAAAATATTCAAAACAGAAAAAAATTTCCAGAAAAAGCGGTCAGTGTTGATGTTTCAGAGGGCATTTAAAACAGAAAAAGAGCCAACATCTTGCTATGCTGCATCTTCAAGCTACAACGGAGAATCTCCAATTTCTTGAGGATACCTTCCTCATGTTCTAAATTACTATTAAATAGCTGCTATCAAGCTCAGAAATCTTCTGGTCTGTACATATCTGATTTCAAGACACACTCACAGCTAACCCTTCAGATGAACTAGAGCTTGTAGAGGTTTCCCTAAGACCTGGGACACAGCCAAACTATCACAGTCCACTCTGACAACTTTCGTTAGATAGTTTTAGCGAACAAATAATTTGTTCAAAATCGTGTACAAATCACCATCCTGTCCTGGAGAGTATTTCAGCCCATAACATTCCAATGCAGTTTTATTGCTACTGACAACCACTGTATTCTAGGATGTCATACAGAACACTGCAACATCGTATCTACTACAGATTACGAACCACATTATCTAAATTGAATCCTGCCACAGTAGCTCTTACGGATGAGAAAACCTTCTTCACCAGGACAGGAGATCATATGCAGTCTTGATTACTAAGCAGCAGAGGATAAAATACAGTAGACAATTCTACTTGCATGGGGCAGGAAGCACAGGAACACATAAGTAAGCTTGCATTACATTATCTCATGATCCTTTCTTTCCAGTTTATAGGAGTTTAATACCCAAAGGATATAATTCGGTAGCTGAACAATTTACTGGAGGCTTAGATTCACATTCAGCATCACAACCCCTAACTTTTAAGCACCTAGAAAAAAATCACAGGAACATCAATGCAATCCACAAAGTCTGAGTTAGGCACCTAGGCTCTCTATACATTAGAATATGATCCACAACAGACAGCATGCTACATAGAGAGCTCCCTTACTTAGCCAATGGAAGACGCTGATGGCAGGGGTGCATCTTAAGCCTCGCCCCTCTCACAGACAAAAATGCCTAAGTCCTCACTACAGGTAGGTGCATATCTCCACTTGTGATTCTCAGCTGTGAACCCTCTCCTGGAGTTAGGTGCCTCAGGTGTGCCTAAAGTGATCACTCTCCTTACAATGTGTGTGATAATCAAGGTGGGCCATTTCCAGCACAAAACCAGGGTTTAACAAGAACATCTGAGGAACGGGGGGGCCTTTGTTAGGCCTGTCCTGTAGTAGGTGAAGTATGCATCCGATGAAGTGAGCTGTAGCTCACGAAAGCTTATGCTCAAATAAATTGGTTAGTCTAAGGTGCCACAAGTACTCCTTTTCTTTTTGAGAATACAGACTAACACGGCTGTTACTCTGAAACCTGTCATCATGCAAGGCACCGCATTTAGCCGTACGGAGTGGAAATCTATCAACTGCATGAAAAAACTTGTACAGATACAGACAGACATCATCTTCCTTTCCAAACGCAAACAGATGGACATCGTACCAAAAGGACTGAAGGTAAAAAAGTCCATTACAATCTACATACCACACAGACTATGCTGACAGCTTGTGCCACACGCTCTCAAAGAAACTGCGGAACCACCTGATCAACATCCTCTACAGCAAACAGGGAAAGATAAAGAATGAGCTCTCAAAAATGGATACTCTCATAAAAAACCAACCTTCCACACAAACTTCCTCGTGTCTGGACTTTACTAAAACACACACACTTTGCTGCTCTACAAAAGAAAAAGGACGCTAAACTTTCTAAACTACTACATGCCACAAGGGGCCACAGCAATGGTTCCCTCAACCCACCCAGCAATATTGTTAACCTATCCAACTATACTCTTAGCCCAGCAGAAGCAGCTGTCCTATCTCGGGGCCTCTCCTTCTGCCCCTCCAACCCCATGAACATGATACAGTTCTGTGGTGACCTAGAATCCTATTTTCGACGTCTCCAACTCAAGGAATATTTCCAACACACTTCTGAACAACATACTAATCCACAGAGACCTCCCTACCAACACTACAAAAAGAAGGATTCTAGGTGGACTCCTCCTGAAGGTTGAGACAGCAGACTGGACTTCTGCATAGAGTGCTTCTGCTGACGTGCACGGGCTGAAATTGTGGAAAAGCAGCATCACTTGCCCCACAACCTCAGCCGTGCAGAACACAATGCCATCCACAGCCTCAGAAACAACTCTGACATCATAATCAAAAAGGCTGACAAAGGAGGTGCTGTTGTCATCATGACTAGGTCGGAACATGAACAAGAGGCTGCTAGGCAGCTCTCCAACACCACTTTCTACAAGCCATTACCCTCTAATCCCACTGAGAGTTACCAAAAGAAACTACAGCATTTGCTCAAGAAACTCCCTGAAAAAGCACAAGATCAAATCCACACAGACACACCCCTGGAACCCCGACCTGGGTTATTCTATCTACTACCCAAGATCCATAAACCTAGAAATCCTGGGCGCCCCATCATCTCAGGCATTGGCACCCTGACAGCAGGATTGTCTGGCTATGTAGACTCTCTCCTCAGGCCCTATGCTACCAACACTCCCAGCTACCTTCGAGACACCACTGACTTCCTGAGGAAACTACAAATCCACCGGTGATCTTCCTGATAACGCCATCCTGGCCACTATGGATGTGGAAGCTCTCTACACCAACATTCCACACAAAGATGGACTACAAGCCGTCAAGAACACTATCCCCGATAATGTCACGGCTAACCTGGTGGCTGAACTTTGCGACTTTGTCCTTACCCATAACTATTTTACATTTGGGGACAATGTATACCTTCAAATCAGCGGCACTGCTATGGGTACCCGCATGGCCCCACAATATGCCAACATTTTTATGGCTGACTTAGAACAATGCTTCCTCAGCTCTCGTCCCCTAATGCCCCTACTCTACTTGCGCTATATTGATGACATCATCATCTGGACCCATGGAAAAGAAGCCCTTGAGGAATTCCACCATGATTTCAACAATTTCTATCCCACCATCAACCTTAGCCTGGTCCAGTCCACACAAGAGATCCACTTCCTGGACACTACAGTGCTAATAAACAATGGTCACATAAACATCACCCTATACCAGAAACCTACTGACCGCTATTCCTACCTACATGCCTCCAGCTTTCACCCTGACCACACCACACGATCCATTGTCTACAGCCAAGCTCTGAGATACCACCGCATTTCCTCCAACCCCTCAGACAGAGACAAACACCTACAAGATCTCTATCAAGCATTCTTACAACTACAATACCCACCTGCGGAAGTGAAGAAACAGATTGATAGAGCCAGAAGAGTTCCCAGAAGTCACCTACTAAAGGACAGGCCTAACAAAGAAAATAACAGAACGCCACTAGCCGTCACCTTCAGCCCCCAACTAAAACCTCTCCAACGCATTATCAAGGATCTACAACCTATCCTGAAGGATGACCCAACACTCTCACAAATCTTGGGAGACAGGCCAGTCCTTGCCTACAAACAGCCCCCCAACCTGAAGCAAATACTCACCAGCAACCACATACCACACGACAGAACCACTAATCCAGGAACCTATCCTTGCAACAAAGCCCGTTGCCAACTGTGCCCACATATCTATTCAGGGGACACCATCACAGGGCCTAATCACATCAGTCACACTATCCGAGGCTTGTTCACCTGCACATCTACCAATGTGATATATGCCATCATGTGCCAGTAATGACCCCCTGCTATGTACATTGGTCAAACTGGACAGTCTCTACGTAAAAGAATAAATGGACACAAATCAGATGTCAAGAATTATAACATTCATAAACCAGTCGGAGAACACTTCAGTCTCTCTGGTCATGCAATTACAGACATGAAAGTTGCGATATTACAACAGAAAAACTTCAAAACCAGACTCTAGCGAGAGACTGCTGAATTGGAATTCATTTGCAAATTGGATACAATTAACTTAGGCTTGAATAGAGACTGGGAGTGGCTATGTCATTATGCAAGGTAACCTATTTTCCCTTGTTTTTTCCCCCCCCCCCCCCGTTCCTCAGATGTTCTTATTAAACCCTGGATTTGTGCTGGAAATGGCCCACCTTGATCATCACACGCATTGTAAGGAGAGTGATCACTTTAGATAAGCTATTATCAGCAGGAGAGTGGGGTGGGGGGAGAGAAAACCTTTTATAGTGATAAACACCCATTTTTTCATGGTTTGCGTGTATAAAAACAACATCTTCTGTATTTTCCACAGTATGCATCTGATGAAGTGAGCTGTAGCTCACGAAAGCTTATGCTCAAATAAATTGGTTAGTCTCTAAGGTGCCACAAGTACTCCTTTTCTTTTTATGAAGAAGATAGCAGCTTTGTCTCTTCTCCTTCTCCCCACCCTATGAGCATCTCACTGTTTCAAGGGAAATGCAGAAAGGCCTGTTAGCCAGCCCTTCTTCCAGCCTCTTTTTGGGGGGCAGGGCTGGCGCTCTTACTCCTCAGGGAATCCTGGCTGCTGATGCTCAGTAAAGCATCTGCAGCAGCATGAAATTGGCAAGATTATTGATCAGTTTCACCAGTGCCTCTGGAACAGTCATATGAAAACATTAGAGTCATTTTTAGTGTCATTTCAATTATCTGTCTCGAGACTCAGAGGCTGTGTTACACTAGCTTTTTTGGTGCTAAGTCTTACATCATTGCAATTCCACCAGTGATAGCAACATTGAGAAAAAGGGCATCCTTTTTATCGGTGTAAGATTACACAAATAAAAGCAGAGAGAGTGGCAGACTGCAGTTTGTGGACTACTGGTACTCTGCAGGAAGCTGGCTGCTCACCTCCACATTTCCAGCTGCTAAAAAAAAATTTAATTTTAGGTGCTTGTAGCCAATTTTTAATATTTTCATAGTATAACTCTTCCATGTAAGCAATTTCCAGAGTTGCCAACGGGCAATTATCATGATTAGGAGAGAAGATTATCTCAGATATCATGATTTGAAAGAAGGAGTGGTCCACAAAAGTGTCTGAGAATTCTTGATTTAGATGCTACACTATTGCCTCCATCATTTTTTATGCCAGTAGGAGATTTTCTTCCCCCACCTCCTTTCCCTAAGTGCTAGTTTAGACCAGACAAAATGACATCAGTTTACATTCAGATCAGCTATTTAATGTTATCTTTGCAACATCATTTAAAAACAAAGTTTAAGTTTTGAAAAGGATGTCTTGTGTCCCCACAACACCCATCAGTGAATTCTCCCTGCTGCATGTTGGGAGGCCTTTCTGAGCCATGAATATTATTTTATACTAATATTTATATTTAGTTTGCTTAATATTTGTAGGGTGACTGGTTTAACACCCAAATGTCTCTCTTTTCAGAGAATATACCATAGCTTATAATGGACAATTAATCATTCTCTACATGTGTATGTAACTACACAGCTACAGCACTGAGGGTCCCATGCAGACATCTGAATAAAGCCTGAACCAGCAACAAATGACTCTCCAGGAAATCTACTGTATTCAGCCCAATGTGACAAGAAACATGTATCAGGAAAGTAAGTAAGTAGCCAGCGTAAATTCAGGTATGATCGGTTCCATTTTTACCCTACATTGTTTGCATGAAGGCTCTGTTCAACACTGAAGGCAGATCTACGCTACAGGGCTAAGTCGACCTAAATAACGTAGCTGGAGTTGACATAGCTTAGGTCAACTTATTGTGGTGTCTACACTGTACTGGGTCGACGGGAGAAACTCTCCTGTCAACTTACCTTATGCTTCTCATTCTGCTGAAGTACTGGAGTAGACGGGAAAGTGATCTGTGATCGATTTAGTGGGTCTTCACTGGACCCACTAAATCAACCCCCAGTGGATCAATCGCCACAGTGTCAATCCAAGGTAGGTGTAGACATACTCTAAGTGGTAGTCTACACTAGAAAAGTTACACCATGTAAGGAGGTGAGACGACGATTAGGTAAACTTACCTCATGTAAAAGGGTAAGGGCCTAAGTGTATTTAATGGATCCTATATATCACATATTAGATAGACAAGTGCATAATCAATATAAATGTAGGCCTAGTTTAGTTTGGTTCATCAGACCTTTGGAAAGGAGCGCAAGACAACTTTTTGGCTAACTAAGCATCCTGTTATTTCACTTCTTGAAATGTCCTTGATATTTAGGTAAATAACAAGGATGCAGTAACAGTGAGAGGTTGTGATGACCCCACCAAATATGATCAGGGTAAAGAAAAAGTCCCTGTCAAATATTAAAATTAACAATAAGAAAAAGTATTAATAAGTAGATAATCAAGTTATATAATTTAGGGTGTAATGCAGAATCTTATATTTAGTCATAAAATATTATTACTCGTTATGTAATTAATCAGAGGAGGGGGTGTGGATAAAAATATGGGGTCATCTTGAGCATAAAGGTGTACTGAAATTTAAGTCTTTGCCTTTGTTTGTGTACAACCTTGTCTGTATGTACTAAGCCAGATCACTGGCAGGTCACTCTCAACTGATCACAGGGGTGTGGTACTTTGTACCTATACTGATATAAACCTGTTCCTTGGATCTGAACTCTGGAGTTAGCAGTGGTTTTGTCTGCTACAGCAAGCAGTGGTTGTGTGCTTTGCTGGGTTCATAAAATAACCTGTGGGCCAGGTTGGTGGTCCTGAAAACAAACTTACACACCAGTGTGGCACTCTGTACCTCAAAGCAGCACCCAGGAACCCCCATATTCACCAGCCATATAATTATGATATATTTCATACAAAGCATGCCATATCATAACTTTTCATATATCTTCTTATCTTCTGAAACCCATTGTTCTGTCAAAATATGTATATCATGTGTGTGTATGAAGTTATGAGATTTTGCTATATGGTTGTTACTGAAATATGTTGTAAGTTTGAGAGTCTTCACTGCTAGTTCTCCAGTGACAAATGAGGTGACCCATTCCCAGGATGGTGCTAAATAACCATTAATCAGCAGGGGAATTCCAATCAAAGGATTTACAATGCTGTAAGAGGGCTGTGCAAGCATCGCAAAATGGGGGATTGCTCAACTCTGTGACTCAGCAAAGTCCACCGGGACATGTCTGGGTTAGTGTTTTCCAGGCACACGGACTGAGCCCCCTGCCCCGAGCCCCCTGCTGCACCCCACACCCCTCCTGCACCCCACACCCCCTGCCCTGAGCCCCCTGCACCCCTCAGGGGCAGGGAGGGAGCGGAGTTGGGGTGGGGATTTTGGTGAAGGGGTTGGAATGGGGGCAGGGAAGGAGTGGGAAGAGGCAGGGCAGGGGCAGGGCCTCATGGAAGGGGAGGAGGGGGGTGGTCAGTGGTGCGGCCCTCGGGCCAATGTACGAGTCCTTATGTGGCCCTCGTGGTCATTTGAGTTTGAGACCCCTTCACTAGAGAGGTTTGCCACTTTAACTATACCAAAATAACTGAAGTAGCAAAAACTTCATAGCCCACAGACCCTGTGCATAAAGGGGCAGAACAGAGGACTTTGGCATATGGGAAGGGGGACTGGAAGGGCACACAACCAATGGTATGGGGAATAGGGCACACACAACCTCTCTAGCATGGGTGGTTGCAGGAACTTTTTGAGGGGGATGGGAGAGTAGTACAAACAGAGTTTGTGGGGGGATAAAAGGAACCTCTGGTGTGTCTAGGGTGACCAGACAGCAAGTGTGAAAAATCAGGACAGGAGGTGGGGGTTAATAGATGCCTATATAAGAAAAAGCACCAAATATCAGGGCTGTCCCTATAAAATCGGGACATCTGGTCACCTTGTGTGTACAATGCACTTGGACTGAAGCTACAAAGCATGTAACCTTCTATCAGCAATACTTCCTTTCTCCCCCGCTCTTGGCCTGTCTCATTATATAGGCACAGAACTCTAACTATAAGTTTTACAGGACCTAGCATAATGATGATGCTACATCTCAGTGGGGGGGCCTTTGTATTTGGAATATAGATAAACAATGGTGGAAAATTAGTTTATGTATTTTTAACTTCATTATGAATATATAAGGGAGGCACAGGTATCAAGCAACTGAAACCTAGTTCATTAAGAAAGGAAGTAATTTTTTACTCAGACTATCAAAATTTGGATTGTTTACAACTATTCAACTGAAATAGGAGAGTTTTTTTTAAAAGATGCAACCACCTCCACCCCTTCAAAGAACGCCTAGAAAATTCCCAAAAGGAAGAACAACCCCACCAACCAGACTGGACATTCCTGATATTTCTAGAAGATAAAAGACAAGGCGGGGAGAGGGGAAGGGGGAGTATTTTGAAGCAACTTTCAGGCCATCTAAATAGATCATATACGACCACAAACCCATTTTTCCCTTTGCGGGGCACTGTTTAACCAGCTTGCTGTTTGAACTGTTAGCTCCTAAGGCCACAAGAGAGACGCTGCTCACCTCCATTAGCGAGGTTTCCATGTCCTTTCACCACACCTGCAGTACAAAAGTAGCCCACCAAGCCAGGCTCCCGCTTTTGTACGCGGGGGTGTTAGCAGCAGCCCGATGACCCGAGCTACCACCCGCGTCCATTTCTTCCAGACAGCTCCGCTCTCCTTGGAGAGGCTCCTTTCCCTGGGTCACTAACTCGAACCGCTGCGGGGTCGCACCGATGAGACGGGGGAGGTTGCACAGCCAGCCCCCGGGTCTCCTAACGCAGCTGAGGCCCGAGCGCCCGCCGCAGCAGGCGAAGAGCAGCACCGTGCCTTGGCTCTGCCGCTGCTAGTCCCTAGAGCCACCGGCCCCGGCCGGGGCTGGAGAGGGCGATGCAGTTACCGCAAGCGGATTGCGAGGAACGACGCCGGGCCCCGAGCTGAGGGGAAAGGCAGGATGAGCCTAGGAGGAGAGAAAAAGGGAGTGACAGGGACGAGGGACTAACCCTCCCGCAGCGCCGCGTTACCTGCTCCTGCCGCCTCCTGGCCCGCGCTAGACTCGCGGCTGCTGCGGGGAGGGGCTGCCCGGGCCCAGCTTTAAATGTGCCGCCTTCCCTCCCGCTCTGCGAGCCGCGCCCGGGCCCTCTCCTCAGCTCGCTCAGTGACTGGCGTGCAGCCGTAGCAGGCGCCTGGGGCTCCTCCCCTCCAGCGGGGCTCCCCGCCCCACTAGCTGAGAGCGATCGGAGGCCCTGAGGCGCTGTGAGCGGTGCCCTCCAGCCCTGCTTAGAGCGGAGCTAGTCGATACCCTTTGCCAGTCGCCTGCCGCACAAGGCTTCCCCAGATTGTTCAGCTCCCTAGCATTTCCTTCGTGTAGAGCGGACCCGGCCCCCACCTGTGTCGCTTATTAGCTAGCTGTCCCTGTGCTAGCAACACATGCCCTTCAACAAGCGGCTAATCTCCTAGTGTAGACAAAACTAAACTGTTTTCAGCCCCACCTCCGATATCCACAACATCAACCTATAGCCCCGTCTGGACGTGCTCTTTAGTGAGTTTGCTACCCTTGCTTCTCTGCAGGAGTGAGGAGCTAACAGAGATTTTACCACCAACTCATCTTGCCCTGCACTGAGTAGGGATTAGATAACTGGGTGGTAAGAACACTGGTGCCTCATCTGCACTAGCACTGGTGGAGCTTCAGCACGGCTAGTAGAACAAGGTCAGATTTCTAGTGAAAATCGAGGTCAGTTTTTGGGTCATAGGGATTCAAAAGCGTATGGTCAATCTCTGATTAGAGTGTGGCCCATGTTGCTCTCATTTTTGGGACATATAGAGAGATGGTAATCCATAAAAAACTGCATAGCTCAGGAACACTACCTTATTTTAAATAAAACACCTGGAGAATGTAGAATAGCTGTAGTGTCAAGTACAGGAAGTGATTATGTATCAGAGGGGTATCCATCTTAGTTTGTATCCACAAAAACAGGTGCATCTGAAGAAGGGGGTTTTTTTACACATGAAAGCTTATGCCCAAATAAATCTGTTAAGTCTTTAAGGTGCCACCAGACTTCTTATTGTTTTTGAGGAAGTGATTATAGATCTTTAGCACAACTTACCATGTCACTGATACCTGAATTATTAGACACCAATAATGTGCTCTACACTACAGAAGGACAGAGTCCAGTTATAACCTCCTATAATCAAGTAATTATGACTTTCACAAAAATGTTGTAAAGGATGGAAGCCTGAAAATGTTTGGCAACATTAGACAACATGTTGTTTTAGTTTATTGAAAAACAACATATTTGAAGGGTTTTGTTAAGACGGGTGAATAGTGCAGGCCTATAGTCATACTAAATCCTCACCACTGGCAATATAGACATCCTCCACGCAGTTATGTAACTGTTTCAAACCTGATTTGCCTTTCAAAAGGTACCAGTTGTGCAAACTGTGATGGCTTCTGTGATGCAAACTTTTAAAAATATAATGTGTTCTATTTTGATGATTGATTTTCACTCTTCTCTTAAAAAAAGCTAAGATACGGATCTGTATTTTAGGAAAACAAAGCTATCCATCTTCAAAACTGACCTATTGGATATGCAGAGTCCATAGTTTTATTCACCTTTGAACACACTAAGCCCTCAAATGTACTGAAGGAATGACTCACTGTTTACTGACACATTAAAACAGCAATTCAGTTTAATTGCAATAACATAGGCAGTACCAAGAAACTCCCAGTATGTTGGCTGCTGCTTTATCCCCTTGAGACAACTGTGGCTGGCAAGAGACTGCTTAGATGTCTGTTTCATGACACAATCCAAATGGATCTCAATTGTTTCCCCCCCACACGCTTTGTTTTCCATCAGGAACTAAGAGAAAGGTTAAACAGCTGTATAGTCTATCCTAATAAGTTATTTTAAAACCAATACCACTCTGATATGCAAGAGCAAAGAACTGCTCTCTCCCACTTGGAAAACATATCATAGGCAAATCTCACCCCTGACATATTGAAGGCTGAGGTCTAAACTCACTGGAATGCCCATTCGCTAAACCCTGCCACCACCATTTTAACTAGCATGTACTATAACGCTGCTCAGAGCGAATCTAAGAATTTTGCACCAGTGTAATTTAACACTAGGACAAAGGGGGAACTTTCCCTAAACTAGGCAAGATAGAAACATGGTGGAGGTGGCGGCAGCAGCCACCTATCTATGGTAGGGCACCCACCGTCACACCTCCCAACATTTCAAGTGACTAAAGCGGGACAACTGGTCATAGTCAATCCCTGTGGAGCCATCCCCACTGCAGCCACTGGCCCCAGTACCTTGCACACCTGTGCCATGCTCAGTCCCCACCATCCAACCCAGCCTGCTTGGGAGCAGCATCACTCCCCATTCCTGATCTACCTTGCAGCTAGTGAGCATACCTGAGGAGGCTGAGCATACCCAGGAGCAGCTGAAGCTGCTGCCCTCCCTATCCTATTCCCTGCCAATTGTACACGCTGTGCACAATGTGTATATAGCATCAGGCACCACTGAATGCAGGAAGCATTCTACTTCAATCAGGTAAGGGAGTGTTGGGCATCAAAGTGGAACAGTCCCACAAAACTCAGGACTATTGGGAGGCATGCCCACTGTTGCTAACAGTCACGGGGCTAAATTAGTGCTAGCCCTGAGTTGACACAACACTTAAACACATGGTTAAAGTTAAATATGTGCTTAAGTCCTAATGAAGTCCTACTCTAAATGGGTCTTAAGCAGGTGATTAAACGATTTAGTAAATCAATGGCTCAGTGACAGAAGAGAATTAAAAACTCAAAATAAAAAACAGAGAGAACCTATGGGAGTAGTCACCTTTTTGTCTGCAAGGTGCATGCTTGATGATAGACTCAGGACTGGATAAACACACAGAGCTTTCAGGACTCCACCTTTTTGATCAAGCCACTGTGGAAGTTGTACTGAAACCCTTTAATTCTTAAGCCAAAAGACTCATGCAAAACTTCTCGGGGGGGGGGGGGGGATAAAATTAGATTTACAATTTTCTCTTAGTAGAAAGAAGGGTAAGGGGGAGGAGAAGAGTGGAATTACTATTAGATATATTGAAATAAGGCTGGGAAATAACCAATGTTGAGGAAACCAAATATTTTGTAAGCAATCTTTTTGTCACTAAGGTCTCAGTCCTGTGAAGTATCCAATGAGGTATCCATTGAGCCAAATCCTCCACCCATTTTAAGTTAAAGTTTTGCTATTTATTTAATTGAAGTCAATAGGTCCAATTCCACATCTACTACGGTTTTTCAGTCATAAGTCCTTCATAAAATCAGGTCGTAGGTGCTATAAGAAAATAGCATTCAAGCAAATTAAGCATAACTCTTCTACACAGCTAAGAGCTGAATTTAGCAGTTTCAGGGACTAGGTTACAAGCTTAGATTTATTAACAATTGCCATATTAGCATGCAACTAGATAGACTAGGATACATTATTCACAGCTAAATTTCTTTTCCTTAAATCACTTAATAATAATTAAATACAACTCCTCTGCAGTGAGGAAATAAGAGTTGTCTACAAAGAACAAGCATATAAATTAATAAAATAGCATGTTTCTTCTTCCTAATAAATCCTTCTCATAACTCCTCCCTCCAATGACTCCACATTTCCATCATCCACATCATCCCCCATTGTTCTCCCTCATCCTCCCTCTCAATTCATTTTTTATCATCCCTCTTTCATTTGTTGCTCTTTTTTCTTCTTCTTCCTCCTCCAATCCTTTTTTCCCCATATCTTGTTCTGCAATCACTAGCAACAAAACGTTATTTGCAATGAAATAAAGGAGCAGTTTCTTCCCACTCATAAGAAGCTCTATTTAATTTGTTCCTCTAATACTTAATTGTCTTAAAGCCCCCTCCTGAGAGGTGCTGTATACTCTTAAAGCTGATTGGGATTTAAGTGCACACATTACCCCCAGCAGAAAAATATAAGTATCTCCTTTCCTACTGTGCTTGTTTTCTAGTGCTCAGGCCTGCAGTGCTATTGATATTACCATGCTATCTTCCATCTGTTGTTACTCACCTGGCCCTCTTCTATTTCACCCCACAACAATTTGCATTTGCCAATTAGAGCAGAAGCAGTACAAGAAGCCTTCCGGAATGTGAGGAAGGTCTGAGTATCCTGGCAGATTGGTAAGCAGGAGGAAATAATTGGGCTCTGCTCAGGAGCTCCTGAGCCTCATTAGAAAATTAAGACTCCGATGTTACGGGGGATGGGAATCAGTTCTCATTCAAAATAGGAGGGAAACCATCTTCATGTGGGAGGGCTATGGCAATAATAAAAGGGTTAAACAATGATATTGATCAGAAGCGCAAGTGCAATAGCAAACAAAAAGACATATTTGGGCTAGGGTAGGGCAATTCTAAGAGTAGGTGGTTTTTAAAGACAATTATAATGGAGAACTAATGAGTTAGGGAATAGTTATTCCTAGTACTGACTTATTCTGAGGTATATTAATAGGAATGTCATATGTAAGACACACAAAGTAATTGTCACCCTCTACTTGGCACTGATGAGGCCTTACCTGGAGTACTGTGTTCAACTCTGGGTGCCACACTGTAGAAAAGATGTGGGTAAATTGGAAAGAGCGTGGAGAAGAGCAACAAAAGATTTAGAAAACCTGACCTATGAGGGAAGATTTAAGAAACTGGGCATATTTAATCCTGAAAAAAAGATGACTGGGGGCGATGGGACGTGATAATCGTCTTCACCTATAATAAGGACTTTTATAAAAAGGAGAGTGATCAATTCTTTACTGTGTCCACTGAAGATAGAACAAGAGCAATGGGCTCAATCCCTAGCAAGGGAGATTTAGGTTAGATATGAGGAAAAACTTTCTACCTATAAGGATAGTTAAACTCTGGAAGAGGCTTCTAAGGGAGGTTGTGGAATCCCCATCAATTGGAGTTTT